GCCTTGCAGCAGGGTCCTCATTTCACCCAATCCTCAAGTACTTATTTAACATCACCTTCAATATTTCAATACTGTTTGCCTTAACTACTCTACTTGGTGAAAAGCTCCGTGCTCTAAACAACCTGAGGGGAAAAAAAGATGCTTCTCCCGGTTTCCTGATTAAATTAATTGGTAAGTATCTTATATTGATAACTGCTCGTCTTGGACTCCCCATCTAGTCAAAATTTCTTCTCTATAGCTACCCAATGCATGGCAGTTCATGCAGATCCATTTTAAATCTGAGATATTTAGGGATATGAGCCAAGGACAGGTATATGAAGTTAGGTAACAGATCAGCCATAATCTCACTGAATAGCGGGACAGGCTTGACGGGCTGAATGGCCTACTCCAGTTCCTTTGTTCTTCTGTTCCTATAGGGTTTTGTCAAGGAATTCAGTTGCATTATTCATTTTGTTCTTATATTTCAGTTTGTTACTGCATTCGATAATGCTGTCCTGTAAATGTCCTGTTTAGTGCCATAAATGCTACATAATTCTTAAATGTTCCTTCACGGTCACTTCAATACCCACCCTCCATCAATTCCCATATGTGCTCTCTTGCACCACCTCAGGCCTAGCAGGAAACTGTTGCAAAAGTAAGTGCAAGCTTGCAAATAAAATGAAAAATATTTGAAATGATGAATCAATATCTTAGAGTGGAAGATAATAGATAGTTTACATCCAATCCTTGATTAGAACAAGCATTGAGACAGAAAATAAACAGAGTCAAGGGAGGCAGCTAGCAGGTGGAATGCAAATACTGTAAAAGCATAAAGTGGTAGTTTTTGCTCTCAGATTCTACTGTAGTTCCTGTATTGTCCAGCAGTGTCACTGGTAAGCACATAATAATAGCTAACGAAGCCTGTCTTTGCAGTTCTTGTCAAATACTTAAGACTTCGTACAAAATACAGATGATAAAGCACACCAAATCCCAGTACTCGGTCTGACCCCAGCAACTAAACTTGTTTAAGCATTTAATATCTTCAGTACCTCACTGATACCTTTTATTTGTAGATACTAGTTTTCCACAACCCTTCACATGCTCACCGAATGGTAAGAAAGAGCCATTGTGCCTGTCTAACCTTTATGCTGTCCTTTTCCCATTGCATCAATGTCGTTAAATCTAATATTTCTTAGTAAAATCCCTAGGCTTTTGATACATGCGCAATTCCCATGTGAATCCACTATGGCTGTTTCACCAGACATGGCTCAGTGGCAAGCAGTCTTAGCTCTGAGTCAGGTTGGCTGTCGATTCAACTCCCCTTGCAGAGCCCAAACACAAAACTTCCCCTGATACTCCAGTAGAGTACTGA